CCATGGCCAATGCTGTTTTTAGAGGTTCCAGTTAGCCTAGGGAGAGGTGCACAGCATTTGCTGCTCTGCTGCTCTGGCGTGTTTCTCCCTTTAAGGCCCTGGGCTCACTCATTCTCGATGGGACCCTCTCACACATGAGTTCAATCTTGATGGTTCCCAGCTCAATCGGAGTTTGCTTTTTATCCTGTCATAGTATGAGAACAAACTGATGGACCATCACGGGGGGGGGGGGGAGCAACTTCCTGGTCACTTGCCTCTATGTGTCTCTATTTTTTTCTTATTTCACTATCATAACTTGTTTGAATACTGCTCTTAGAAATATAAGATATAAAGACACTTTGAAAAATATGTAACATTAAAAAACAATATAAAGACATAGGAAAAAATAAATTGGACCCATGTAAATTAGAAGTTTTTATACCTCAAAAATATCAAGGATGTGCAAAAGTCCAAAGGATAAGCAATATTATTTGCAAAATAACACATCTGATAAAAGGCTTATATTCATGTTATAAAAATAAGTCTTACAATTCAGCAATATAAGACAACTAATTTAAAAGTAGACAGGGATCTGAATAGACATTTCTCCTAAGAAGGTATACAAATGGGCAAAAAGCACATGAAAAGAGAGTCACTACCTTTAGCCATTCAAGAAATCAAATTCAAAATCAAAATGAGTTGCTTTTTCTTATCCACTATGATGAAAGTAATAAAAAAAGGGATAAGCAATCAGGAATGCAGGCCAGGCTATTGAGAAATTGGAGCCATCATGCTTTACTGGTGAAGTTCTGAAATGAAATGGGGTGGCCACATTGGAAAGCAGTCTGGCAGGTCCTCAGCTATGTCAAACAGAATTATCATATGACTTAACAACTCTGCTCTTTGGTTTGTGCCCCAGAAGAGAACTGGAAACATATTCACAAAATCTGCATACAAATATTCATAACAACATTAATCCTAATACCCAAATGCTCATCAACCGATGAATGCAAAAAGAAAATGTGGCATATTTATACAATAAAAAATTATTTGACAAAAAACTACTGATGCATGCAACAACATATAGTAGATGCACCTTCCAAATACGATGCTCAGCAAAGTAATTTAATCACTAAAGGTCACATATTATATAATTCTGTCTATATAAAGTGTCCAGAATAGGCAGATTCATGGAGACAGAAAGCAGAAGGGTGGGAGGAATGTTTGGGGAGTGATAGCAAGTAGGTATATGATTTCCTTTTGAGGTTATGAATATATTCTGAAACTAGGTAGTGTTATAGTTGCACAATTCTGAGAACATACTAAAACTCACTAAATTTTATATTTTACAAAACTAGATTTAATGATACAGGAATTGTATCTCAAAAAGCTATTATAAAAGTCCAAGATTATATACACTATTTGTTTGTTTGTTTGTTTGTTTGTTTGTTTGAGACAGGGTCTCACCATGTAGTTCAGGCTGGCCCTGAACTCATTATGTACTCCAAGCTGGCCTTGAACTTGTGGTGATCTTCCTGCCTCAGCCTCTTGAGTGTGCTGGGATTATAGGTGTGCACCACCACACCTGCTGTATGCACTTTTAAAACAAAAATTTTCAATGTTATTTTTTACTTGTTCATGTTCATAATTTCAAGCTAATTTAAATATTCTATATTTGTCCGTCCATTAAACAAGTAGGAAAATGAAAATAGTGAAGCCTCACTAAAAATACTTCCATGAAGGGAAAGCCAAATTGAAGAGTCAAAATTCAGAATTTTTTAAAGTTTTAGTTTTTTCAAATGCGTATTGTAGTTGCAGTATATCGGCAAGTAAAGCTTGGTGGAGGTGGTTTTATTGGACAACAAAGGATAATTAAAGATTATTTCTACACGCTCGGTAAATTGTTGTTCAGTTCCTTTCCTCTACACTAATACAGATTTGTTCATTTTGAATAAATGAATACCTTTTTAAAATGCCTGCATGATGGGGCTGGGGATTTAGTTCAGTGGTTCTACTGCCTGCCTTGCAAGCTTAAGGACCCGAGTTCGATGCCCAGCACCAAAAAAAAAAAATGCCTGAATGCTGTTCTATTAAATAGGTTAAGTATTCCCCTTAAATCTTATATACATTTTTTTACGTGCTTAGCAAGCCTTGCTTTAAAAGATAGTTGTGCCTAACAATTTTGCATTTCTTTATAGGTTACAAAGAATTTCCATGTGTTGTAATTTCTTCATTTCTTATAATAAAACTCCAGGCCCAAACTTGAAATTTCTCCTTTCTTTGACTCATTCAGTCAACTCATAATGTTTTGGTCAAATCACCTTTCAAATACATAGACAATCTCTCCACCTCTCCCAACCCATCCCGCAGTATCTCAGTCCAAGCCCTCAACAGGGCTTGCCTGCATGCATTGGTTCCCGAACTTGCCTTTTTAAAATACTAACTCAATCCATTTTTACAGCAAGAATTACTTGTATGCATGTCTGTGTATGCCACTCCCTTCTTAAGTCTCCATATTGCTCTGAGAATAACCCCCAAATCTCCAGAATGGAGCAGGTGCTTTCTGCACTCTTTCTGGCATCTATGGGCTCTCTCCATGCTCCCTGGATGCCACTCTCCCCCAGGCATTCTGGACAAGTCACACTGGATATGTTTTATTTCGATGAATTTCCTCATTCTTCAGGATCTTTGCATCTGCTCTTCCCTCTGCCTGGAATAGCTTTCCACCAGTTCTGACTGACTCTTCCTCATCATTCAGGCTTCAGCTAAGTATCACTTGTTCAAGGAATCTTCCTACCATCTTGTTTCAGATGTACCTTGTTACAGCTCCTCTCTGTATACTTATTCCTTTAGCACTCATCAAAAGTAGTAATTTTTTTGGCACCTGCCTGGCAAGCCCAAGGTCCCATGTTTGATCCCCGGTACCAAAAAAAAAAAAAAAGTAGCAATTTTTTGAATGTCAAAAGATATCAACCTTTTTTCTATTTCCTGTTATTGCTTTGTAGAAAGCTCTTTTCATCTTCAGATCCCAGTTTAACTGTCACTCTCAAGTGGGTGACACTCTGAAGAAAGTGTCCCCCTACTTTAGTATTCTTTGCTTGTAGTTTACTTACTGTTTTCCTGTTCATTTTCTTCTCTACAATATGATCACCACAAAAACTATCTGATTTGTTCATTGTTGAATTCTTGGAGTCTAGAACAGTTCCAGAGGCATAGTAGGTACTCACAGAATATATGTTAGGTGAATAAATGGAGGATAGGTATAACAGATGTTAATACTCAATTTCATAGATGGAGAAAATGGAGTTGAGAGGAGTGTAGTAAAGTGTGATTTCTTTTCTGTTGTTAGTAAATGGCTGATCCAGTGGAACCCGGATAGTCTCACTTGTAAGCCTAGGTCTTCTACTGGGATAATATTAGGGCTTCAAATTCTATTTATTTTTATTTATATTTATTTATCTTGCAGTGCTGGAGATTGAACCCAGGGACTTCACATGCTAAGCAAGCCCTTTACTACTGAATCACACCTTCCAGCCCCAAACTCTATATGATTCAAGAGACACAACTGTTTTGCCTGCCACTGTAGTGGACATAAGATGCTCGGAAGAAAAAGGGGTGAAAAGTGATCAGATTACCCTGGAGCTTTCACACAGCATAGAATAGAGTTAGAGTGGTAGTTATTTGGAAAGTGGTTGCTTTGTTTTGGATAGGACCAGTGTAGGGATTAACTCAGAGTCATTTAATCAGCCTTCCATAAAGTACTTATGTTATGATTGGCAGCCTCTATGTATCTAGTTTGTAAGGCTACAAAAATTAGACATAGAAGGGGTAAAATCAGACAGACAGCATGAAGGATTATTCATATCGTGACTGAAAAAAGAACTTCTGGTTGAAAGGCTGTTAGGGGCTGAAATTCACCTACATTCTGTTTCTGAAGCTCTTGGCCCAGGAACACAGCTGGGTCTGACCAGAATAAGGACTCATCTTTGAGGAAAGCCCTCTCCTGAGACGGCAGCAAAGAGTTCCTGGGGTCTCTGAGTAGACACTTTGCATGGCAGGGCTTGGCTTGCCTCACCACATCAAGGGAACGAGTCAGGACAACAGACACAGAACAAGTCCGACGGAGACTTGAGAATGCGGCCAGGCCCACTGAAACTCCAAAACTCCTCAGACTGGCTCTCCTGAGAAGTCTGAAAACAGTAGCCTGAGAGCCCAGTTTGCTCCCCTCAGTCCTGTTCACAGCAGTTCATGTTTCAGTATGAAAATAGCTAGGCAAACATGCTTGAGGTCAGTGATACCCAGAATTAGCTAGATTTTTTTTTTGCCTTTGCACTCATGTGTACCTTTCATATCCCTTGGGTTCATTAAGTGTTTTTACTGCAGCCTCAGGTAGTTGACTTGTACCGGAAGTTCATTGTCTGCTTGGGAGATGTTGCTTATTTTAAGGTATACACTGCCCTGAAATTTCTTCAGCTTGTGTTGTACTGTAGGCTGTTGTCAGGCATATGAAAAATTTTTCAGCAAAATTTCGTGTGCTTCCAACTAATTATGGAAGAGTCGTCTGGGGAAACCACATCCATGTATGTGCACCACTCTGGTTCTGTGTGTTCTTTTTAGAGAGAATTCGTAGCTGAACAGACCTTGCACTGAACAAACATCTGTGCTTGGCTCTGCCACCAGGAAGTGGTGAAATTGCTGTGTCACTTCTCTTTGAGCTTCAATTTCTTCAATAAAATGGGGACTCTGGCATTTGTTTTAATAATCTGTCTGTGGACCGTGAGGACCAAATGCGAAATATATGAAGAAAACCCTCTCTGTGGGCGCAGTGCTGCATAGCTATAGTCTCAGCCATCAAGGATGCCAAGGCGGGAGTCTAAAACGAGCCTGTGCATCATGGAGAGACCCTGACTCAAAACAAAGCAAAACCAAAAAGCCTTGGAGGTGACCAAGTATTTTTAAAAGTCTGACAATGGTTGCAATAGAAGTAAACTTCTTAAAAACTATCCCTTTTTTCTGTTTAGATGGCACTGTGTATCTCTATGTTGTGAATCATCCTCACATGGAGTCCACCGTGGAGATATTTAAATTTGAAGAACACCAACGCTCTCTCATACACCTGAAAACTGTAAAACATGAACTTCTCAAGAGGTACAGAATTAAACCTTGTGTACTTCTATTTATTTTGCACCACTGCTGCGTGCTTTTTTCTCCTTTGGTTCAGCAGGCTTTCTTAAACTTGTAGTTTTGCAGCAATTTTTTCTAAACCTCTCTAAAGATTCCCGTGGTGACACTGCCCAGCACCTCACTAGAAATTGCTGTGTTCAGTATTGAATATCCCTACATTTTTCAACTTTTTGAAAGCATTTTAATCCCATAAAGGTGCTCAATTAGGTTCCCAGCTCTAATTCCATCCTCTTTACCACAGCAACTCAATACCTACTATTGGGCTGTCTTTAAACACCTACTCCCTTTTCTAATTGTATTCCATGAGCCTCACCCACTGGATGTTAAACCAGCCTCCAGAAGGATCATTCATTGTTCAATAAGAGGGATTAAATGGAATTTGGTAAAGCCCATGAGTACTTAAAAGAATTACATTTATTGAATGTTGACTATGTATTAGGCACTGTGCCAAAATCTTTAACTTTATTTTCATAATAGCCTTTAGTAGTAGCCATGCATAAACTAAGACCAAGAAGTTTTGGGCTAGGTAACTTTCCCACATCACACAATTTTTAACTAGCATGACCATTATGGAAACGTGAGTCCATCTGAATTAGAAGATGAGCTCCCATTTGCGATGGTGAGCATCTTTCTTACTGCACTCAGAAAAAATAGTTAAGTTTTTTAGTGGACAAACTGCCCATTTCCAGTCTGTAGCGAACAGTGAAAAATTTGTCTTTTGTAAAAGAGGCTTAACACTAAAGGGCTGGTTCTGAAATAATAGAGGTTGCCTCTTTCATAGGGAAAAAAAGGAAGGAAGTTCATCTCATTCGTTCTCGTTTTCAACATCACCTGTGAATTTCTTCCCATTGCATTTGAGGGCAGTGGAAGCAGAGAGCACAAGAAGCAAGAGTGTTGAGACACTGAGCTTTTCCCATTATGCACTGTGTTGGACTAGAACTGCCGGAGAGTTGCTGGGAGGCTGCGGCCAAATCACTTGAGATGTGTTTCAGTTTCCTCAGTAACTGGTGAAGATTCTCTCATTGACCTGACTTGCCCAGGGATGGACAGTGAGGAGCAAATGCTACAGCATATGACTTCACAGAAGAGTCCCCTAGAAAGCGCAGCCTGAAGGAAAGCTGCATATGAACCACTTTATTAGGGAATTCAGTCCCAGGAAGCAGAAATCAGAGACCAGCCTGAAATTGGGAAGGAGAAGGATTGTGAGTTGAATTATGTTCTGCAGAAAGATATGTTGAGATTTCATCCCCCTATGCCTCAGACTATGACCTTACTCAGAAATAGGACCATTGCTTATATTTTTTAAATGAAGTCATATTAGGCATCCTTAGAAGAAGACATATATTCAGGGAGAGTAACATGAGGTGCAGGAGCCTTGAAATGACAGTGACATTTCTATAAGCTAATGAATGTCCTGGGCTGCCAGCTGCTGAGAAAAAGATTCTGCCACAGAAATTTCAGAGGGAACATGTCCTTGCCAACATCTTGAATTCAGACTCCTGGCCTCCCGAACTGTGAGACAATAACTTTTCCTCTTTTGAGCCCTGCAGTTGGTGATACCTTGCTCTGGCAGCCATAGGAAATTCATATACAGAGAAAGTCATAGCAATAGCATTAACGAACAAACCGCTTCTAAGTGCAATTGATGGCTCAGAATCATGGACTTGTCCTCAAGTAAGCTGCATAAGCTTCATTTCAGAACAATCTTGTGGAGATAGGGAGAAGGGCTGAATCCACAGCCCCGTCTCCCATTAGTCAAAGGTTTGTCTCAAGGGTCCTTAATCACCTCTGCATTCTTGGATATATATGTGCAAACCAAATCTCATGGTAGCCTGTGCTTTGTCATCAACCAGAGTCTGGAAGCGGGCCTGGTGAGGTATGGCACTGCTTGGTGGCACCTGTAGGAAAGAGGCAGCTGAAACAAGATAGTTGGGGACAGAAATCTAAAAAGGAGCTGGAGGGGTCCCCTGCTGACCAAGTATGGCCAGCAGGCAGAACAGAGCGCTGGGAGACACATTGTGAGAGGATTGAACTTATGGTGTGGGGAAGAGTTTGGGAAGAAGGAACATTTAAATAGGACATGAGAGGCTCATAGCCCCATGACCTTGGGGAAGTTGTTATATGTCAAAACCTCAAAGTATTTCCAAATTCCGTCAATTTTCCTTTCCATTTAAATTTAATCTAAAAATCCTTAATTTTCCTTTACATTTGCAGTCAATTTTTCTTTTTCAAAATGGAAATGACTTTCCTCTTTTTATTGATTATAAAAATAATGCTTGCTTCATTTAAAGATCGTGCAGCGGTGTGCGTATAACATAGCTATTTGGTCAGCTGAGGCAGGAGGGACACTTGAGACCGGGAGTTTGAAGCCAGTCTGGGCTTCTTGAAGGAGAAGGGGAGGAGGAAGAGGAAGAGGAGAAGAACGGGAGAAAAAGCTCCTAATGATATTGAGGAACAGAAGAAAGAAGATCAGCCATAATCCCATCTGTAAAGCTCAAAAGGGACTGAGTTAAGCTATGATAACAGGAAGAAAAACCTATGGCTCTAGACCACATAGTGTGGTTTGGTTTGGTTTGTTTTGGTTTTCTCAGTCTTACTGCAATAGCCATGTAGGTGACTTGGTTTCATTTAGGGCCCTAGGAGGACCCTAACCAGATATTTCTCATTACTATGTAAACCAGGTGGATCACTCACTGACTCCCACAGTCTTCTATCCAGAAGCCACACGCATTAGTCAAGCAAGTCACATATTCATGCCTAATGTTTAAGTCTAATTCCCGAAGGAGGAAAATCATAACGATTATAACTGCCATAGATAATCATTATTAACATTAGATTTTGGAGTTTGATGTGTATTTGTATAATAATTCATTTTTATTTTTTGAAATTGATGTATTAGTGATTTTGACACCAATCAAGATATTAAAATGCTCTAAGGATTTCTCCCTCCCCCTCCCTCTCTTCCTCCCTCCTTCCTTCTTTCTAGTGTGAATGACATTGTGGTTGTTGGACCAGAACAATTTTATGCCACCAGAGACCACTATTTGGACAACTTCTTCTTGTCACTTCTTGAGATGATCTTGGATCTTCGCTGGACTTATGTTGTGTTCTACAGCCCAAGAGAGGTCAAAGTGGTAGCCAAAGGATTTAATTCTGCCAATGGCATTACAGCCTCACTAGACCAGAAGTATGTCCTTTCATCATTTTTCTACCCTTTGTCTTTAATATTTTGGTGAACTCCTTCGCTTAAGGTGCATTGGGCTGAAGGAGTCAATATGGGGGGCCGGGTCAGTTATGGTCAGGGTTCACACTAGTGTATTATCTAAAGCAGACTATTTATTGTCTTCTGCTTCAGATTCCCCTAGTATAAGGAGGAATCAGACTCAAAAAATAAGTCCTTGTTCCAAATGTTTACATGACTCTCGAAACATCCTTTGCTAACACATTGAAAATTTGTATAAATGTACGATACTTCTATCCCTTATGAGGCCAGCAGGTATTTAATCACTTCCACTAAGTTCATTTACCTAAAACCTTGTACCAGTGAGTGAGGCTTACCTTAGAGGGGCATTGTAATTATAGAAATTGCCTACTTACTGATGTCTGGCAGCAAAGTATTCCCTGACTCTTTTTAAGTAGCATGAAATTTTATGAGACAACACTCTTTAGAAGTGTTTACAAGTTGAAGAATTTATTTTTAAAAAGAGAAGTACCTTGAATATGGACATGTAAATTTGAGATAATGAAGAGCAATGAACCCTGGAGAAAAATACCAGTAAGTGTTCCTCCTCTTTAAAGAAAAATGGTTGTGATGGAACTTCATGGTCACTTGATATTTCTTTTTAAGCACTAGTTTTTGGAAGTATGACTCTCTGGGCCTTAGAAGAGGTTCACTTACCTCCATTTGATTTAAAGAAAAACTTGTAAATTCTCAGAAATGAGATTGCACCTGTATGTCATTGGAAATGCCAATTTTGTCCTTTATAGTCACATCTCATATTCAAAGCCGGTCTAAACATTTCAAGGATATTGAAAGTACCACTCCATTATCTTCTTTTACAGTGGTTTAGAAAGGCACTTCAGCTGTGGTGGTACTTCAAACTAGTCTGAATTTTTATACCTGTTCTCCAAAATAAGGATTAGCATCAAATCTCATTACTACTTGCTTAAATGTCACTGTTATTTACTTCAAAGGTATATCTATGTAGCTGATATAGCAGCTAAGAACATTCACATAATGGAAAAACATGAAAACTGGAATTTAACCCAACTGAAGGTAAAAATACCCAGGTTTACCCACACAACATGGTCTCTAGCACCAGCCCCATCAACCTCCTTGAATGAAGGAACGATGATTCTTTCAAAGCAATACCAGTGAGATCATGCTTCTGTTTTAAATGTACATCCCTAAGTGCCCTAAAAACAATAATCTCAGGTGCCTGGAAGTGCTGGGGTGGGGGGATAGGGAGAATGTTAAGATAACGCCTGCACCACTTCCTCTTTGTTGGAAGGTAATACAATTGGACACCTTCATGGATAACTTGAATGTTGATCCTAGCACTGGAGATATTTTGGGAGGATGCCACCCTAATGCCATGAAGCTGCTAAACTATAACCCTAAAGATCCTCCAGGGTCAGAAGTAAGTGCCTATATTTCTCTGAGCTCACAGGCAAAGCTATGAGGATTAACATTTTGTTGAGATGACAGGAGAGGATTTAAGTGGGTGATGTTTGATAATTCTCATGGAGATTTTGATAGGGAAGGGAGATATAATTCCTTACTCCTTTCAGGCCAGCAGGTGCCAATACAACATCAGTCCCAAACAATATGTCTCATCCATGCAAGGGCTATATTTGCTGTTGGGGGTAATGGGAAAATATGAGCTTATTATTCATATTGACCCAATTGCCTATGGTTTTTCCAATCAGGTCTGAATAGGTCCTGTGGTCAGATAGAGACATGTATGAGATCATTTTTCAGACTACCTAACATGAAGCTCAAATAAAAGTGTGTAAATGAATGAAGTCTCAAAACTAAAGGAGGTTTTTTTTTTTTTTTTGCCTCTAGGTTGTAATATATATGGAACTGCTAAAGAATGTCTTGTTTTAAAGATTTTTTGTTATTTACACTGGGTGTGGTGGTGCATGCCTATAATTCCGGCACTCAGAAGGCTGAGGCAGGAGGATCGCTATAATTTCAAGGCCAGCCTCAGCTACAGAGTGAGTTCAAGGTCAGCTTGAACTGCACAAGGAGAGCCTGTCTCAAAAAAATTTTTTTTTGTTATTTAAAATTATCTCTTCTAGGAGATTCTTAGATAAGAAGAAGGGGATGGGGAGGGAGAGACAGGGTGAAGGGTAATGTGGGGTAGATATGAAAAACTAATGTTATATCCATGTATGAAAATTCCACAGTGGAACCCATTACTCTGTATAATCAATATGCAATAATACAAATATCTCCTCTAAAACAATAATATGAGCCACTGAATTTTCTAAGGCCTTAAAAACAATAGCAAACAGCATTGCATTTTCTATGGCATCAAATTTAAGAATAAAAAATTCTCTAGGGAATTGAACTATAGCTAAATTTCTAGGCAAGTATATTCTGAGATCTATATTCATAGACATTTACTATGCACCTATCATGTGCCAGACATTTTTCTGATGCTTAGGATGTATTACACAGTTAAACAGAAAGTCTGCTTTTAGGGAGGGGAGAACAGACACTGAACAATGAGCTTAAGAAATAAGTGAATCACATAGTAAGCCTGAAGATGCTAAGTTCCATGGGAAAAACAGTACATCTGGGTAAAGAGACTCAGGATTACTGTGAACAAGAGGTCAGGCAGGCCCAAATATTAAATAGAGAGCATAACTGACCTCTTTGAAAAGATGTGTTTCAAAGGAAGACAGGTTTGGGGAGGTGGGAAACAGATTGAGATCCTAGCCTGGTAATTGATCCAGTGGCTAATTTAGAACATAAAGTTAATTCTGGTGAAGGATATTGCTATTTTCCAGTTAAATTTTTTCTCTTAAGTTAACATATTAGTCACAGCTTCTTAAAAAGAGCACCAAAGAAATATAAAAAGAAGTGAAAGTCCTTCCTGAGTCTTGAATCAGAAGAATTCTTACCCCAAGTTAGCAAACACTCCTTGCTTCAGATATGTACCCCACTCAAGGGATAGTTGTAACTTTCCTACAAAAATGTAACTACAGCATCTGTTTTAAGACCATACAAATACAACTCATAGAATGATTGAAAAATTGTTCACATCTCTGTTTTTGAGTTTGAGCATTTGTTTATTTTAGATAACCTTTCTTTCTTCACAATTACTTTTAATTGAGTCTTATGTTATCTATGTGATCCAAGCTTGAGTACTTTTGTGCAACAAACCTGAGATGGAGGTGTGGGATCTTCTTTAAAATTAAAAAACAACACTCAATAACAACCACAAAAGAAACCCCTCTAAACTCCATTCTAACAAGAGGAGAGGTGTTGGTAAAGACTCACAATTCATGAATTACTGATTGCTTTCCTTTAATTCCTCTCATGTTTTGTTGAATGGATTTTATCCAGGCTCTTTGGAAACCTGAGTGCTTCTGAATTCACTGATTAGCAAAGTTAAGTGTTTAGGGATCAATACCAGCACAAGACATAGATGTGTCAGCTGGAATTCTGAACAGTGTGTGTTTTCTGCTTCCTAGCAACTGTGCAGATATGAGAGGGTCTCTGGCTTTGGTGACCACCATCCTCCCAGTTACCAGTGTGGAGTGAGTGCTTGACTCAGCTCCCTCTAGCCTTTTGTCCTGTGCCTCCCTCTCATGCTATAGGTTCAGTCAAAGGCAAGACCCTCCCCATGGAGGCAGGGACACTGTCCGCAGAGGAAGTGAAGAGTGTTCATTGGGTGTAACCTCCTTCTCTAGGGGATATCTTAACTATCAAAGTTGTTTAAACTTTCTATTGAGGAATTTGGCTAATGTCAGATAACCAGTCCATTTTAGAGCATAGATTTCTTATGTCATCAAAGGAAGAAGAATGGTTTAAGATAGATCTCTGAAGAGATATACATGCCCTAGTATGTGGGGAAGAAAACATCACCAGATAGCTGCTTGCTCATACAGTGTGGTAACAAGTGATCTTCTCTTGACAGGTACTACGCATCCAGAATGTTTTATCCGATAAACCCACAGTGAGCACTATCTACGCCAATAATGGTTCTGTGCTTCAGGGTACCTCGGTGGCTGCCGTGTACCATGGGAAAATTCTCATAGGCACTGTGTTTCATAAAGCTCTTTATTGTGTGCTCTAGACTTGAGATATTCCAAAGCCTCCATATGTTTGGTAAAAGTGAATTTGTCATTATATGGTAAGTTTTAAAAGAGCAGAGAGAAATTTCATATTGGTCACCAAATGGCAAGTTGGGTGAGTGACAGTCCACCAAGAAACTGGAATGCTCCTCACTGTGTCAGATATCTCCAATATTCTCCAATAATGAGAAATACGAGCCGTGGCTACGGAAGCTTCCGGCTCAGGGAGCCCCCCTTGATAACAGTGTGGCAAAATCGCCTTCTACAACCAGGATGTTGAGTCTCTAGCAGTCCAGTCTAGGAGAAAAGCCATGTTCAAGGACTTACAATTTCTCTCCTCTTCTCTTCTCCCAATTTTGATGGAAATCAACTGCTAATCAAGTGCCCCTGCCTGCAGCTAAAAGCAAGAATTGGTATCGTGAGATTGTCCCAAAGCCATACCTTCTCCCCAAGTCCAAACGGGAATCAGGATCAGTGAAATTTGCCAGACACACAGAGCTGATGTGGTCATTTGTAACAGGTCTTTCTTTGTATTGACCCTTGTGCGTCAAGTATTGTTAATCCTGCTTGGCTCTGTACCGTGAGATGCAGGCTCAGAGCAGTTATCTTGTGTTGCTTTCAGCTTGCGCTACTGGTTAATTCAATAAGCATTTCTTAAGCAACTTCCTATGCACTTGGCACTAATAAATCCGAAATGAATAAGATGGTCCTGCCCTACATATATTCATCAGCAGATGAATGGATAAAGTGTGGTGTTTAAACACAATTCTTTTTTATGTCCATCTGCCATAAAGAAGAATAAACTTGAGTCATTTGTAGAAAAATGGATGCACTTTGAGACATAACGTTAAGTGAAATAAATCAGACACCCAAACCTACATATAGCATGGTATCTCTTATATGAGAAAAACAAAATATAAATAAAAAGCAAAATAAAAGACAGATAATAGGAAATAGGGAAATAGATCTTTTGCAAATGGGAAGGGGACCAAGAGATGGAGGGAAGGAGGCGGGGAGAGGAGGGAAAAGGGGTAAAACAGTTAAGATGTGCTATGCACCAACTCCCAGTGAGGAATGGAATCATTATGTACTGCCAATATGTGGTAATACAAAATAAAAATTTTTTAAAAAACTTAAAAAGATTGTCCTGGCATAAAGTGTTGTCCAGAGGACTAAGCCATATAGCAAGACCCTATAGCAAATTTTAAAAAGTTATAAAGGGGTGGGGGGTGTCCATCAGTGCAAAGGCACTGGGTTCAACCTCCAGGACCAAGTGGAGATAGAGAGACAGAGGCAGAGATACCAAACCAACCTTACTGATGAGAATGAATAAAAGTGTCCCTTTCTTGGTCAAAAACAAGAATAACATTTAGCCAATCATTAATGAGGATCAATGTGCCCAAGTCCATTTTTGTGACTTTTACTAGGGAGTAGCTATTGATTTTTTCTCTCCCTCTTCTCCGGATGGTGATTTGGGTAGATTTCTTTATATCCTAATTAACACTGCTCAGTTAGAAGTAAGTTTTGCTGAAAGTTTTTATTAGGGTAAAATTCTACTTTTTAGTCCATGTAAATCTTTAGACAGTAAGGCTTTGTAGTTTTCACTGCTTAAAAGGAAAAATGGCACAGAAAAAAACTATAGTCAGTTATATTTTAAGTTTCAAAAGTCTAGACTTTTGGGGGAATAGAGAAAAAAAGAAATTAAGGGCATATTACAGCATAGTCCATGTTGAAGAATCTAAAAATGTTTTGTCCCTGAACATCACACCAGCTGGACTAGATAAAGCTTACCAAACTAAGGCAGAATAAAGAGGGTAAGATATGGGAAGACTAAGAGATTTGAGGTGCTAGGGAGTTCCTAAGAGCTGACCCTACGCTGCTTTCTCCCAGGCCTAGTTAGGAAAGGCTAGATGATAGACCTTCGCAAGAAATTTGGGGGTTCTGATGACGGAAGGACTAATGTGTCCTTTTACAAGGAATGCACAGGAAAGTGACAAAGCCACGAGTTTCCTCTGGCCCCAGCCTGGTGCGAAAGCAGGTAAGTGTGGGTGTGGTTCACCAGGGATGGCACAGAGGCTCTGATGTTATCTGCACTTGAAGCTGACACAAAAGCGAACCAATTCTCATGCACTCAAGAGGGCACAGAAGCCAGCAGAGAGAGAACCAATGGGCCTAAAGATGTCTTGCTATCAGGGAGAAGACAAATAGGCATTTGATTACCATGAGACCTTAGTTGATAACAAGGACCAGACAGCTCCTGTGGTGCTTCAGCTCTGCCAAAGCCTTCTAGGATTTAAACAGAACTCCAAGGATTGGGAGGAGGCTGTGGGATTGTTTTATATATTGTTTCCTGATGCCAATCCATTTGGAGACTCAAAATTAAAATTACAGGAAGGAATGGGAAAGAAATTTCTGGTGTACTTTATGAATGTAGATTTTTCTGAGTTGGTGCAGTACAGAGTAGAAAGGGCTCAAATCTTTTGCTAACAGATGTATGATTACATCCTTTCCTTGGTGGTTCTGTAACTAAGACCAATTGGTAATAAGATGCCCTCTTCTCAGATGCCAATGCAAGATTCAGTTCCAGCTGAACCCCATGTACACTTTGCCCCTGCTCTAATCCAAATGGGTCTGTGATGGTTTAGATCAAGAATGACGCCCCCCCCCCAACTCTCATGTTCTCAAAGGCTGGGCTTTTGGAAAGTGACTGAAGCATAGGTCCACTACACTAATAGCCAAATATCCCATTAGAAGGTGAGTTTGCTTGAGGAAGAGGCAGGTCACTGGGGGTGTGACTTGGAAGGGGTGTATCTCTGAGTGGCTCTCGCTCCTTTCCCTACTTCTTGACCATGAGCCATTTACCTCTGCCTGGTCCTTCTGCAATGTGGTTTCTGTGTTGGAGCCAGCCAACCATGGACTGTGAGCCAAAATAAACCCTTCTTTAAATTGTGAGTGTCAGTATTATGTCTCAGTGGCAAGAAAGTGTCTAAGACAGGGTCCCCTCTCCCAATATGTCGTCTTGATGAAAGAGGCCCTGGCAGGATGGCTCAAATTTGGAGGCAAGTAACCTATTCTTACCAAAGGATAGGAGTGTGGGTTGCCCTAATCACAATCCCTTTGTCCTGTAATCTTCTTTAATCTTTCCTCCTCTCCTTCAGTAGGCACAAGTTTATCGGAGGTTTCTTGCCAAGACAGTCATCTAACACCCCCTCTCCCTCTGTAAGCCATCCCAATCTTTATGTGAATACCTTGAGCCGGCACAAGAGACCCGGAGGAGGAGAATTACCTTCTCAATTGATGCTGCATTTTGGTGACTCATCCTCTTACTTTCTCTAGCCTTTCCAAGTAATTGTCAGAGATGTAGGTTGGCGGCAGGACACTAGGGTGATAATTGAAGGACTTAGAGCTCTCTCATGAGCCACAAGTAAACTCTGACTGTAATATTTACCTCTAAATGTTTTCAGCTATTCCTAGAATGTGAGATACTTGGTGCTTTTATTTTTTTAAGAGTTTTACTGAGTTATCCAGGCTGACCTTGAACCTGAAGTTGTCACGCATAGCTAGGATTACAGGCATGTGCCGCTACACTGGGCAGTTGTTATTATTTTTGAGCCTTTAGGTGCTAACTCTGACCACAGGAAAATTCTTGGTCTCTTCCTTTTGTATCCAACCTGTTTTAGTTTAGGTAGCAGGAACATTTAGAATATTCAATAATGCTACCAGATATAAGCTAACCTACATTAGCAAGAGCACCTACAAATTTCAATGGACAGTGATATGCTGGTCAACATGACAGCAAAAGTATATAACATCTAGTCAATAAATAATTTAACTAAGCCTATATAAGAATTTTATGGAGAAAATATTAAATCTTCAACAAAAATGCTAGAAAATATACTACATATATGGATACACATTTCACATGGTCTCTTTTCTTTCTTTGAGACAGGGTTTCCTTATGTAGCTCAGGTTGGCCTTGAACTCACTATGTATGTAGCCCAGGATGGCCTTGAACTCGTGGTGAACCTCTTGCTTCAGCCTCCCAAGTGCTGGGAGTACAGGTGTGCAAGATGCACATTTTAGTCTTGAATAAAATTACAAGAATATAAATTCTTTCCCAATTATTCTATAAAATCAAAGTTCACTAGGATTTTTATGAGGTTAAATGTATTTAAATTTTACAAGGAAAATTTTTATTTCTTGTAATGCATTAGGTTAAATAATTCAAGACCAAATTGCCTAATGAAAAAAAAATAATAGATGCAAAGATTTAAAAATAGTTTTGAAAGCAGCACATATCTCACAAAATATCTCTGAATTATCAAGTCGTAACATAAGTGAAATCCAGAGGGTTAATTAGCATTGAAACCGGGCTTGCCTTGAGGGCATCTTCTGAACTAGTTGAGCGCTGCTGGATATTAAGATCTCACAGGTACAGGGGACCTGGAGTGAAATCCCGGGTCAGCCCGGAGTGGGGAGCCTATTAATGGACTGCATCCCATAGAATCAAAACCCTGTGACCACAAAGAGGCCCATTTCCTACTCCCTGAAGCCTAAAAGGAAACTTGCCTTGGGATTGAGAAAAGTATACAAAGACATATAATATTCCTCAAAAGTGATAACTACTTGCCTATCATCACTGAAATGTTGAGTCTAAATTCATATTAGTTGGTCAAAAAACTCTCATTCTGTTGAATGGTGGTTACAGGAGACCGGGGAGTGTGGGGGAGGGAGGGATACAGAGAGATTGATAAATGGGCATGGATTACAGTTAAGGGTAAGAAGTTCCAGAGTGCTGGGGCACAGAAGGTGACTATCCATAGTGAAAATACATGCTATTTCAAAAAGTTGGAATGAAAGACTTTGAATATCACTGTCTAGAAAAATATAAATGTTTGAGATAGATGTTTTAATCTGCTTTGAGCATTACACACTGTACACATGCATCAAAACAACAGGTAGTGCTTCATAAGTATGTACAGGTTTTGTATGTAAACAGAAATAGATTATACATACACATGCATATATTTACCTCAGATCTCAAGCTGTGAGTGTAGTATAAAATCGTGCCAAGTTAGTACTATCACCTGCAAAAGACAAACACATCATCTCTGGATTTTATTCTAGGTCTTATGGCATTACTATGAATAAAGAAGGAATTCCTATAAATAATTTCCCAAGGAAACTTAGCAGTAGTTCCTGAAAAATGAAGAATCGAGGAAACATAAATGAGAACCGATGGAAACAATGACAGCAGAGAGAGACTCACAAAGCACAGGTGTAACAAGTGTACTTGCAGTGTTTCAAGAAATAAAACAGGAGCTTAAACTCAGGGCACAGAAAACTATAAGAACTGACTTAATAGATTTGGAAAAGATCAAATTGAACTTTCACAAGTGAAAATGAAGTAAATTAAATGGAAAATTTATTGGGTAGTCAGAATACATTTTGATTTCTATCGGCTTGAAAACTGTTCCAGTGTACGTTCACAATAACCTCCCTCAATTTGAAGGAAATATCTTTCACTCTTTACTTTCAATGTGTCCAATAGGTGTTTCTCCCTTGGACAGGCTGGAAAAAAGACACTTAAAACATTAAAGACTCAGTCAGATGCCTTGGAATAGTCACCCAAAGCCTGTCAGTGCCCCTCCTAAGGATGGCTAATTTATTAGAGATCATATTGGTTACAAATAATTCAGGGCCAAA